TGTCAATGTATGTGTAAACAAGTATATTCATTTGGTTGAGCATAGTTCTTTATATTGTACGTAGATGCGCCTATAGATACTATTGTGTTGGTAAAATATATGAATTACACTTTTATTTTTCTGAAATTAATTCATTCATCATATCATCATCATATCAGCCGTTAACTGTCCACTGCTGAACATAAGTCTCCCCCATAAGCAAGATTTGTTCGTAGTTGTCATGCTTAACAGGCGGGTTGGCAACCGCAATTAGACTTTAATGATGTCTTGAGAAAGACATTGCTGCTCATCCCTCGACTAATAGGTTCCCTTAGGTTGTCTCTTACGATATCCACGGGAAAAGAAGGGATGGCCCTTTATATACCGGGACCAGACGGCAAATACCTTCATTATTTTTTTGCAAATTGAAGAAAAAGTATTACACAAGTCTCGATAAAAACAGCAATTAACAACCTCGTTTTTTCAAGTTTGAGTCGACTAATACCTCGTCCTTTTGAAATAACTTTTTATTCGATTTCGCGTCGTCCATCCATCTTACCCGATCAATAATTCTAGACCGTTAATTGTCTGACCACAAAATAATGTACTAATTATATAATGTGCTAGTCAATCCGGTTTTCCTTACTGTTAAAATATAATGTACACTTACGAAACTTTTAACAGTAATGTACTATATTGTATACTTTATTATCATTATAAAGAAGAAATAAATAGTATCCACATAAGACAGAAGTATGAGGGGTAACAATGGGGGTTTAGCACTAAAAGCATTCTCACCCACCCACCCTAAGCCAATCTATGGGGAGATCTAATGTGTGTAGCAGTGAACGACAGGTGACTGAAATAATGTTTTGTTTTACTATTATTTTGTCTTCTTATTTGAAATGTTAGCTATCTTATATTTATTACTTTTATAGGTATTTGCTTAATGCTAGTTAATTACAGTAAAATAGTAAATATTAAACAAATTAAATTATCATGAATTATTTACCAAAAGTGTAAATTCTAAATCCCAATACTGTACCTAGTAAATACTGTAAGAATTATTACAACATAGATTATCTATTCGGTTGATTTTAGCAGACACTGACATAAATTGTTAACCATAGATGTGTTGGTAAACTAGTCAAAAAAATTTGTCTTGATTCCAAAGTCATAAAGACAGAAAATGTTGTTAGAACAACTCTACTCAAAACTTAAGCAAGATCATTACAATAAGTGTGAAGTGTGATATTAATCGAATAGGCACTTATAGGCTATGGAATAAACACAATAGAATCATGTTAATACTACACCGTCAGATATACTGCATCCGACCATAGATATAAACATATATGGAAATAGATGGAATATATCAAATACTTGAAGATAAATAAAAATTACATAACATGTACGCGATCCATACACAAAATCAAATATGTACACCTGTAATAACACTTACGTATGTATATACATAACCTGATAGGTTTTTCAATATATGTTAACAAATTTCACCAATAAAACCAGTTAAATGTGAGTTGAACACATACGAGTACGATGAGAATTTCCTACGCAAAATAATCTGAAAATAGGTTTTTATTTTCTTTAGGTATATTTATTATTATTTACATTTATTTGAATGTTTTTGTATATTTTTGTTCAATTATTTCCATTGCAATATGTATATATTTAAGACTATTCCTTATTTCAAAGCTACAACATTACTTCTTGCTTCAAAAGACATAGCGCAGTGACAGATATTTGAACGGACAGACAAACGCACGCTCAGCTGGTCAAAAAAAAGTCGCACCATAAAAGATTCTTAATGTCATTTTGTCACGAAATCCTAAAAATGCTAAAATGTCAATTGTCCTCCGCACCACACCACAAAGTACATATGTTATAATAATTTCTTGTGACATAATCTAAACATATTTATATTTAAATGTAAGACTTCAATAGTAATTAAAGCAATCTTGACATTATTTCTTCAGATAACAATATAATAATATTATTCGTGTTGTTGTTTTGAAACAACGATCTTTTTACAAAAGGGATTCTCGAACTGCGGCGTTTACGGACTCGTTAATATAACGATTACAATAAATATACCAATAGTCCAGATGAACAAGCAAAACTGTAAGTAATAGACAATTGTACTACAATAATTAGTACTATTGCCGCTATTATTAGTGCCTCGTCTCTTAATGAACTTCAAAAAGAATGATTTTATTAGAAATTCGAATGTATATATTGTTTACAAAATTCTCGAATTATATATAATACGTATTTACTGAATATTTTTACATATTCAATGTACCTATAAACATTTTAAGGACTCAACATTCAGGGGTTCCATATGCCATTGATGTAATACACTGTTTTCCTCTAAGATTTTCCTATGACGTCAAAGGTAGATTAAAAATAAGTATTTTATAAGGTAAACATCATCCCCCGAGGTGAAAAAATTTGTACTGAAACCCTAAACTTCAAAAGTTAATTCATAACAAAGAGTCGTAGTTAACGAAGCTTTTCACCTAGTATAAAGAGTGAAGAAAAATATGAATCCTTATTTTCTTGCTTATATTAAAACAATAAAGTAAATTTGTTGGATATGATTATTACATTTTGGCACATTAACGTGTGTGTCAATCATTAAGAAACTTAGTTTCGCCTACACGTAGAATTTGACATGTAGAAAGACAACCTACTTTTGATTCTGGTCACATAATCAAAGACGCGGGTAGATAATATATATTCTCACCTTTGTAATATACTAGAATTAAATTACAGTAACGTAGTGCGTATTTTCTTTCCGCCTTTCAAAACTTAAGTATAGTAAATTGAATTGGGATCAAATCAAAATCGCAGCGAGTAGAATGTATATAGAGTAAGTTTATTGTTCAATAGATGTCTATTCGTGTGTATATGATTTCAATTTGATGCCAATTCAAATGCATTTGTCTGCAGTTTACAAGATCTTGTGTCAAACATGACTTTATTGAATATACACTTCACATACCAACTCCGCATTATAACTAAATACGAATGGATACAAGTCAGAAATTGAGAAAGAGAGAAGAGGAAGCATAATATATCATGATTCGTTTGTTTAAATACGTAAATTAAGACAAAATATTAACTTATTCAAATATTTTTAATTTCAAAATAAATGTCAAAAATACACATATTAAGTACAGAGTACTACCAGATAAAAACAATACAATAAAATAATGTAAGCCAAAGCTGTTTTAAAAAACAATTTAATGCGACAGTTGATTTTGTTTCCCATTTAAAAGTTATTCAATACTTAGATTGTTATTACAAACACTCATAAGCAAAATATTTTCCAGTGAAAATAAACGATTTCTATATTTACCTTTAACATAAGTCATATTAAATTATTATTATTATTGTTACGATCCCCGTAACATTTTTTTACTTTGCATTTTACCTAATTAGTGCGTCACGAAACTAAAAAAATGTCAAAGCAATAACGTGAAATGAAAAAATATTTTCAATCTACAGTAATCGTATGTCATCAAATATGTCGTGACTTGTTTACTCGTAGTCGTATTAAAGATCTTAGTTCGAAAGTTGTTAGCTTAACCAGAAAGTTAAACATAAAGTGCAGGCATCGATCACGCGTAATTTTAACAAGTTTATTTTATTCAATCTCTTTGCATCAAACTATCAAGTATAATTTGAGCATGTCGTGACCTAATGGCATGCATTTACAACTTATAAACTATAAAAGACCTTAATTCAAATCAGGCTGACACAAAAAACTCTGTGTGTTAATTTAATTGATTTTTATTTATCATAAAATCATTCATGGTATGATACATAAACATCTTTTTCCTAGAAAATATATTACAGTATTTGACAATTCACATACCTACAAACCTCGCACGTGCCTACACGTCCGCTCACACTCTATATCGATACTTTTATTTTATATTGTTTATTCCCTAAATGTAATAGAATATAAACAAGATTATTACTTCTTCCAAGAATAGCATATACATGTATTTTTTATGATACTTAGAATGGCAAACAATCTGACGGCCCACCTGATAGATGATGTTAAAATTGTTATCTATAGACAGAAACAACATCACAGATATCATAGTGTACACTGGTGTGTAGTGTACAATGTACACCCGTAGTAGCCCTCATGCGTTGGCATTCCTGAGGACTATATTGTTATACCCCCGTACCATGTAATTTCATTGTCATACTCTGCGAATCAAAACACACCCATCCAAGTACAGCAACTTCACAACAGGAACACGGATGGAACAGTTCAAAATTATACACACAACTATTATATATTTTACAAAGTCGCCCCCAGGATAAAATGTTGTACGAAATGAACAAAAATTAGCTTGACCGAAGCATCCGTTGACTTAAATACTATGCAGTTTTCATACTTAGTTCGTCATCAATTTAACATTTGATTTATATAGAATAACTACGTTTCAAAGTAAAAATGTCCAAATCGATCCTAACTCGGCGACGGGACGGAACCCTTATCCACACTTTCTAAACTTTGTCTCACTCAGAAAGACGCATACCTCATAAATATGAATCAAGCTTTTGCGTCTTATTGTTATTCAACTATAGTATGAAACCACTGATCGGGTCACGATGAAATTTATACTACATTTCTGGTAATTAAAGAGATCATAAAACATGACAACATAATAATACATAGCTTACACGTTATTATATTAATTAAGCAGGAGCTTTACCGACGAATACAAAATATACAGCGAACACTACAATTATTAAATAATTTTTCATAGAAACAAAATTAATATGAAACTCTTGTAACTGTTACAAACAAGCTCCAAAACCAAACAATCGTACATACAAATATCACGTTGTTAATAACAGAACCTTAGCAATGCAAAAAACGTCCTATATTTTTGATTCCTATTCATTTTTACATACATCAAATACCTTACGTATAATAATACCAAAAAGGTTAAATAAACTATATATTTTTCTAAACTCACCTCTCTTTCAGTGGAATATGTTAAAAGGACGCCGAGACTCCCGCTATATCTATAACATTTAGGAAACTTCAAACGTTCTTTACAATAAAACGAACTTATGGGCCAAGTTATGAAAGGGCATATTTATATTAAACGAAGCGTTTATTGATGCAAGTTAGATGTGTGAGTGACTGTTCGTTCGCGAGCACCTACGACTGTAGAGCCAGGGCGGGCGGTACGTCGTGCGTCGGACGCAGGGCGCGTAAGGCGGCGACTCTCGCGTAGGGCGGCTGGGCGGAGACTGCTGTCGCAGACTACGTTCTCCTTGCTCCTCGCAGCCTCGCCCGGACTCGTTTCCTGTTGATCGTGTACGCGACAGGTGATCTCTATCCATTTTTAATCATAGATTACTGTTATTCGACTTCGAATTCATCAGAAATTTAATTACTAAATAATTAAATCACCTTTAATTCCAAAATAATCTTTACAATATTTTATTTATAGATAAAAAAAATATTCAATCTAATAAAATAATTGATAAAGCGTATTAAATTAATGTTCACTACTAGTAGTCCGCTCCGACTTTGCAAGGGTGTACTAATGTAAAATAATATGAGAAACGGAACATCTAAACAGTCGATCTATCAATACTTTTGAAGATCATCATATTGTCTTATATCTCATTCACTTTATTGTTGCGTTTTTTTTTTTAACTAAAAAATATTTTTCTCCGTTATTTTTCCAACATTTTCTTTCATACAAACGTTGTCCTGACAATTACAAAAACAACAAAGAAGAATTTTTCATTTCTGAAGTGATGCGCTTACATACATTTGGCATTTAGTTTATATATATATATATATATAACAGTCGAATAATAGAAGTATCAGCACTTATTTCTTCTCATTATTTATTGTTTGTGACATGGGTGAGACGATGTTCAATTTGACGGTCATTAGGTACACATTATTATCGGGCGCTTTATTTTATTAAGTGAGCCTATCAATGTCACTTGGATTAATTTTGTTTGTTAACGATATCCTACAAACCCATTGTGTCACTCGCAAAATGTAAAACATAAATAGAAAACACATTCACCTATACGAAGAGAAATTATCATATATGTATATATTATTACAGCAATTATGTTACATTATAGATTACTGGTACTTGTCGTAAACGAAAACAATACAAACATTATCTATTACTTTTAGTGATTTTTCAATATCCAATTAAATTTATGGCATCCATTAAAATCTATTTCTGTGTAGGTACTTTATTTCTGTAATAGATCAAGGATGTACCATCTTCCGCCAATGTATACCAACCTTCATTTATCATAATTAGTCGCTTCATACTAAAATCTCAGGTAAGTGTGTAGTCCTATATGCCGATCTTGTTGCGTTCCTTTTCCAAATAATCATATTAAAAAAAGAAAGAAAAGAAGTCAAGAACATTAGGAGACATAAGGAGAAGCCACACAATATTATTTATATTGTGCTATTTGGACTGTTAAGGTATCACTTCATTTTTTCTATTTCATGTGAATTTTCCTTAAATATTATATTAAAAATAGAATTGTCTTAACATAATGTTAAATATTGTGTACAGCTCCATATAATCTAATATGTATATTATGTTATTTTAGATTTTTTCCTATTTTTTCTATTTAACCTTTAACTAACCTAATAGTTTAATCTGAATTTTATTATTCCAGATTATTATGAGAAGTTACTAAATTTAGAAATCACGTAGGTAATGTTTCCATTAGCGTTACTTTTCGTATATTTTCAGTAGTTTCAGTAGTCAACTAAATACAAACAAATACATCTTTGTAATATAAATCCGACTTTATGTGATAAATTTGTTATGTACAACACATATCTCTAATTGTATTTTATTGTACTACTATTTTGCAAAATAATGTTTTAAACTAATATACAAATTATTTCCAAAAAAATAATAACATATTTGTATCTATAAGTACGTATATACATATTTATAGTAGGTGTATAATCTAAGCATAACATTTCGTATCTATTTAGAAAGTGTCGGTCGACATAAACCGACGGAAGCTTGAACACAAATTTCAAGTACGAGTATAAGTACTGTAGGTGCCAGTTTCTAAATTCAAAAGTATTAAAGTTGACAGGCTTCCATACAGATTTTTAACCCGCTTTTTCCTTTTTAGAAAATTAATTTTGAATATACATTTACCGTGTACCAAAAATCTAATATTGGAAAGACTCTCAATTCCCTGGTTTTTTTTTTGTGTACGTACGTATGCCACGGGATATCTTCATAAATTCTGAATTGGTATTGACATTTTTGATAAGGTTTACTTTACTCTCGTCTATGGGTCCACCATATAAATTTCATTACGATTGAAGTAGCTTTTTTGCGGAACAAAATTTTATTTACGTTGAACTGAAATATAGGTGTTTATTCAATATACTTCATTTTCACTCAGCAATGATGAGTCAATCTGTTTTATATTATTAATTTATAATTCATGTTATAAAAGTAGTTAACTTAAAAATTTACTATTTACTAAATTTCTTTGAAAATTATGTACATTTCATTCATTTCATTACATCATTGTTTTAAATTTTTATAGGTATAAATTAAAATAGGGAAATCCTTAAGGTCAATGAATTTGTGAGGATTTGTGCGATCTGTACTTCCGTTAATTACTATAAAAAAAAAGAAAATCCAAACAAAGTAAAAAGAAAATGTTTTTAATTAACTTCGTCTATTTTTAATGACTCATTAAACACTGTACTAAGTACTACTAATGCGTAATAGTCGTGACATCAACGTCTCTACACTATTTTCCTCGAATAGTTCGAGGTATGAAAAACAAATACTTATTGTTGATCTCAATCGGTAAGACTTAATAAAAACAAATTACCCATCGCTTTTCCAATAACTGTATTTATTTCTAAGCAAATTCTTCATTAATATATTATTCATTAGCTGTATCCCGCGGATTTGACCGCGTATATGTTAATATTGGCCTATTTATTGATATTTTGGTCAATTTATCTAAGAAACCATTCAAATCTGCCCAGCTGTAAAAACCTTTATTGATTAACAAAAATAAAAACATCTATTTATAATACAACCTTTTTTTTATAATCAGAAATGTTGTTTTAATCTATGTTTGTCAATAATTAAATAATAAACAGAATATTTTAATACTGATAGAAAATATTCAGCTGTGGTCCATAAACGACGAAACATTACATTAAGGTAATGGATTGAAATAATAATATAATTTTATCCCTTCTATTGGATGTATTGACTAAAAGATATTTCAGTCTCACTAAACTGAAATATTTAAAAAAAAATAACTTTTTTCTTTCTTCCTCTGACTTTAAACATACACACATTTACAATATTCACTTTCTCTCACGCCGTTCACTGAACGTCAGATCTGAATATTTTATTAACTGTAATCTTCTAGTTAAACTTTAATTTTTTTCTTATTCTGTTTATTACGTTTATACTATAAATCATTATTGATAATTCTGTAAAATACATAGTACTAGTTCTTGTATGTTGGAACAAACTGGCTTACAAGGCACAGATTACCCTAATTTGTAAGCCAGGGTAAAAAATATGTAACAGTGCAACCCCGTATTTGATAATAAAGGTTTTACTTCCTTATTTTTGAAAATTCTATTTACCCGGGTGAAGCCGGGTCGGATCACTAGTTTTAAATTAAAAAAAAAAGACTACCAAATCTAGCACTGAAAACCCAGCAAATAAAAATTAATGGGATAAATCTACCGTACTCTGCTGGGTACGGATTTCTCTAGTAAGAGAAGGATATCAGTACTTAGTACCTACAGGGTTTTCTTTCAAGTTTACAGAAGCACTATGCTTTGTTTCTGATGTGCTTTGTTTTCTTTTAACTTGAATATTTAACCTTACCTAGCTTTAATGATGATGAAATGATACAGGCGCCTATGATAACGGTATATAATAACGGGGCATCAGTTGACTTATCATGGTAAATTCTCACGATGGTTTTCAGAGGAGACCGCGTGGAGTTTTTTTATTTTAATGAGTGAAAATGAAATATTGACCCCACTCGCGCTATTGTTAGACTCTGTTTAGGTACCAGAGAGAAATGATAGGTAAGGATGAATGCCTGTCGGTTGGCACATCGTGACGAATTCAACAATTGTTAACTACTATAGTTTCCAGTAGGAACCGCGTGGAATTTGACTTGATAGGGTATATTTCTAACAAGGAGGCAGTTTAACCCCATTATCAACAATCCCTTCCCCCCTGCGTGGAGGTTACCCTGGCCCCTTAACAATCCTTTTCCCCTACTCAACTAGATTCGAATCCACGTCTCCATTTTAAGATTTCTAACTGGAGAATTAACTTAGCATTTTAAAAACAGTTTTCAAATATTGACAAACTAGCTAGAAATTTGTCTGTCCTAATTATCTTCACAAGTACTATCCACATCTTGACACCAGCAAACTTTACTAGCAAGTGAATCGAATATCCAATTATATAACTTGTAAATTGCCCTAGAGATGTGAAACCTTAGATTTTCATGTCTCTAGATCTAAATCATATTAAATTATATATATATATATATATATATATATAAAGAAATAATAGAATATATTTGAGGATATATCATATTCTTTAAGATAGATTTTAAAAGCATTCTGCACTTGAAATATTATCAGAGTACTACTTTGTATTATCATGTGCTTACAAATTAAAATAATTATTGTAAAAATGAGTCAAACTAGTTCAAGAATACTGTGATTGCTTGTAGTTTTATTCAACATAGAGTGTTTGATAGTCAATGGGGTCGATTCTATAGTACCATTTCTCTAAACCTACATCTAAAAGTTATGTATTAAGTTTCTCTAGTTATTTTGTTTTAAAATTGCCACAAAATACCATCGGTTATTGACTCTCCGAGCTATAAGCTAGTTTATCCTTCGGACTATATTGGTCACTTTGGTTCTTTTGCTGACATCCATATTTCGAATTCTATCACCGAAAACACTCCTAGCTAAGCTCCTCCTAAGCTCGCTGAGTTACTTGAAGGTTTTACATACGGGCAACTGTATAGGATTCCATAGGTCATCACTAGCGAAACGCATTGGTTAAAGATCTTTGTGTTCAAACTTTGAGATATTTTAGGATGAGAAGATGTGGCGTAGTTTTCCAAACGCTGCCCAGCCAAGTCGAATTCGTAGGTTGGACTTCTCGGCCGAAGCTGGACTTACCTGGTCGAATAAGAGTTCCCAGGTTTACATATATCGACAACTTCGAGCATAGTGTTCTCAGTAATAACCAGTATAGGTTTGACATGGACGTTA